ATTTCAAATCCTGTTGAATGCAGAAGTGCCAGGTGCTCGAGATTGTAATTCAAATTTTAAATTACAAAACAAAAGCCCGAAACTTGAAAAATGAACAAACACGAATACGGTAAATAGATAAAAATTATTTTTTTGACAATCACTTCCGATGCGCGCATAGATCTTTACTCCATCCAACCCACGGTACTTTCCGAGTTTTCCGCCCCCCTTTTTTCTCTTTCCTTTTCTTTCAATTAACCAGTTCCCGATTAACAAATTCGAAAATTTTAAACGCACTTGAATCGTACTGGGCGTATTACTTTTTACAGTGTTTTCATATTCCTACGAATATCAATTATTATTATATCTTAATCATTTTATTTTACCGTTCCCTTTTTTTTTGCCTTTTCTCGATTTGTGTATGAGCCATCCTTGCGCACGGGCTATGGACTTCTCTACCCGTATCGTTTCAATTCTCATAGATACCCCGCCCGTTCCAATTTTCAAAAATGCCCCCCGGTCCCGTTCCATCTTTAACAGATATCCCCCCCTTTCCCTTTTTGACATCCTGGCTCTGTTCTTCCTTTTTCTGTCTCCCTTTGTTGCCCCTGAATCGTACTATGAGCAAGCAAAGTCTGAGCCGACCCGATTGTTCAATTATTCCGCGGCTCTGCCTGACACTTCCTTTCTTCCTTCTCAGCTCCTTCCACTCTCCCTCTTTTCTTCCCCTCCTCCATTCTTTCGTTCTTCTTCTTCTTCTTCTTCTTCTTCTTCTTCTTCTTCTTCGTCGTCGTCGTCGTCGTCTTCTTCTTTTCTTCTATCCTCCCTTTGTTCTTCCCCCCTCCTTCGTTCTTGTCTCACCTTCCCCAACGCGCCCCCCCCCCTTCCCCCCGGCCCCTCCTAAACGACTGACTACGGGTAGCCCCTCGCCTTATCGTATCCCGAACCTTATTGTTCCCAGTACGATTCGATCTCATGATCTGTCCATTAACCCCCGTTACAAACGCGCATTGGCTGAGGCTCTTCCTCCTCTCTTCCTGTCTCCCCTTTTCCTTCCCTTTAATGACCCGACTATGCCTTCAATTATTTCTCACCTTGCTCCTTTGCCTCTATCCCGACCTCCTTAGCTCCTTCCTCCCTGTCCACTCCAGTAGAGGCTCCTTAAGGGCAATCACATCATTTTGTAAACAATTAACCTCATCAAGATCGGCATTATCATCAACAGTATTCACATTATCCGAATCGACATTTATCTCACATTATTATACACATCATCCGAATCGACGTTTATCTGACATTACCCTTGTCCTCTGCTTCAACGTAATCAACATTACGTTTACTGTTTTTTCTGGACTTCCTTCATTGGTTTCGCCACACCACTCCCGCGCGGTTCTCTTGCGTTTCGTTGCTAGACCCTGTTCGAGAGTGCCTTTCGCCACACGACACTCTCTCTCGACCGGGCTACTGACAATTTTCGGGAGTGCTCCCAAAGTCTCAACTTGACAATATTGCCACATCCGGACACGTTCAGTGTGAAGCAGTCTGACACCATAACGCGGAAAGATCACCGTGGAAAAAGAAAGGCAGTAGTGATCTTACGTTCTGTGAGTTCGCACCATAACGCGACCTCTTGGAAGTGCCTCATATTGCAAACTGATACGAATTTGGATATTAAGACGTGCTGGTGTTTTTGTAACTGTAGGAATATTAGTAGTACTACTGGGAAGTTGGTGGGGTTATCATGAGCTAGGTTGGGGCGGTGGTTGGTGGTTTTGGGATCCCGTAGCAAATGCATGTTTGATGCCTTGGGAATTAGCTACAGCTTGTATTCATTCAGTCATTTCATTTCGGTTGAATTCTTGGACCTTCTTTCTAAATATTGTTACTTTTTTATTCAGTCTCTTAGGTCTGTTTGTTCCTTTGAGTTCCACTTCTGAGTCCCTTTGAGGCTTTGAGTTCCACTTGTGAGTCCCTTTGAGTTCCACTTGTGAGTCCCTTTGAGTTCCACTTGTGAGTCCCTTTGAGTTCCACTTGTGAGTCCCTTTGAGTTCCACTTGTGAGTCCCTTTGAGGACCACTTGAGAATCGGGGATGAAACTTAGGAAAGTAGCTTTACAAGCTGTCATTTCGGGAGTGCTCTCTCGGGAGCCACATTCTGACAGCTCCCGACTTTAATCCGACAGCTCTAATTAGGAAAGCTGCTGTCGCAACGCTGCACTCCCGAAAACAGTCATCTTAGTTCTGGGGTAGAAGTGGAAGGCTGCAGTCTTCGACGTGCTGGGCCTATGGAAACCTCCCCCCGTAAGCTAAGCTGGATGGTGCTTCCAGATATCTCCCGGGGGTAATGTCGGGGTTCCCCGGCCTCGGTTCTTGATTTATGAAATGGAATTTCGATTTTGCCCGGGGGGAGGGGAAGGAGGGGGGGAACAGCCATCTTATGCCTTGAAACACACAGCCACATTTAATCTTACCGCATGTGTGTGCGCGTGTGTGTGTGCATGTGTGTCTTTGTGTGTTTGTGTGTGTGTGTGTGTGTGTGTGTGGACCCTGCACTCCCGAAAACAGTCTTACATTTATCCGATTCCGCATTTGGGGAGTAGTGTGGCGAGGAACCTTACCAACATTATAAACATTATCAGATTCCGCATTATTGACATAATCAAGTTAAATCAACATTATCCGATTCCGCATTATTGACATAATCAGCATTATCCGATTCCGCATTGTTGACATTATCCGAATCTACATTTATCTGACATTACCGTTGTCGTTTTCTTGTCTACGTCCACTTTCGAGCATCCACCCAAATCGCTCACCCCCTCCACCCTCTCCTACGATTCGGGGCAATCATTTTTTCCTAATTTCTCGCTGATCATCGGACCGAACTTTCTTCCATGTTTTAAGGCTCTTTGATTGGGAATTCCACGATTTTCTTTCAACATTTATTCAACGTTTTCTCATCATTTTTTCAAATACTTTTCCAACAACGTCTTCTCATCATTCAATGCGTATTATTGTTGACCTCTTCTCTTCTATATCGTACTCCGAATTTCCTTCCGGCATCACTCCTCTGGCGTCTCCTCCGGTTCTGGCAATCTTCTTTTTTTTTTTCTTTTTTTTTTTTTTGTGGTCATCGAATCGAATCCCCCTAAGAATGCTGAATGGAAGAAGCATGTTAAAAAATGCCCACTGAAATGCTAAATGGGGTTTAAGACTTAACTCGTCGAAAATAGATACAGTATTGGAGTTGATGAACATCCATCCATCCATTAACTGGCTTAACGCAAAATGAAAGCAGCGATCGATTCGGTGTCTGGGTTAGGACATGGGTATTGGTTCCCATTCGATCATAACTTGAGAATGCTCGTCGCACAATGGAACTATATAAACGGAATCGGACTGTTACTACAGTTTATATACATCCACGACAGTCTCGGATGAGCACCGGTGCATCAGCGGAAGGAAATCAGTCGAGCCAGTTAGGCGGTGCTCATCCAAGACTGTCCTGGCGGTGCTCATCCAAGACTGTCCTGGCGGTGCTCATCCAAGACTGTCCTGGATGTACATAAACTGTAATAACAGTCCGATTCCGTTTATATAGTTCCATTGTGCGACGAGCAGTCTCAAGTTATGATCGAATGGGAACCAATACCCATGTCCTTACCCAGACACCGAATCGATCGCCTCCGCC